GGGGAAAACTTTTTTTTTTTTTTTTTTTTTTTGTGAGGTAAGTCTTGCTATGTAGTTCAGGCTGGCTTAACCTCACAGCAACCCTCCTGCCTCAGTCTCAGCCTCCCAAATGTTGGGATTGTAGATGTGCACTACCACACCCAGCCTGGAGAACTTTTTACATTGCTGGGTGATACGCATCTGAGGGGTAAAAAGAGACTTGCCATCAGTGGCCACTGTCAGAAGAGAAAATCTTGTTTTTGGTATGGGGGATTGAACTCCAGACCTTGAGAGGCAGGCGGTAAAACCACTGAGCTAAATCCCTGGCCCAGAAGAGAAAATCTTGATCAACTTTGAGGCTCTGGACTGTCCAGTGCCGGAGCCTGAAACTTCCAGGGTCTGTTGGTACTTTCCAAAGTTGCTACCTCTGGCCAAGCTGTGCTCCCCCACGTGCCTCTGACTGCGTCCGGCCCAGTCCCCATAGTGGCCACTTAGGAGGTGACACCACGGGAGACCGCTCCCCTCCTTGAGGCCTGTCAGCAGCACACCAGAGATGCAGCTTGCATACCTTGCTCGGAGAATGAAACCAGAGGCAGGCACCACCCCCACAGAGCCCCTGTGTGGAATATAAGAACAGGGATAAGAATATATATTAAATGACTATTTTATTTACACACCCTATTCATAAATAATTGCATCCTCTTTTTGACCGCACAATACCTTGAAGATCTAATGATTACACTGAGCAACTAAAAGTAGAGGGGCTTACGTGTGTGTGTGTGACCATACTCTCACTTGCATCTGTGCTCAAGCGCACACTCACAGAAACTCCACACCAGAGGGGCAGCCGGCCCCCCTGGGCTCCCAGCACCGGCAGGTGGGAGGGAAACTTTGCAGTACACAGGTGTGAGTTCCTGACAGCTGGAGAACAAAGAGATGCAGCCAGGGAGCTCCAGCCCCACTGCTGCCGCCTTTGTTCACCCTGTAAGGCATCTCTTTGGATTGCAAATATTTAATTCACAGAAATTCTAGGAGGGGTAGGGGTGGGGACTGGGGTGGTGTGGTGGCCTTCCCTCAGCCTCCATCCAGGCCTTCTCCAGCCCCAGTCAGTGGCAACAGCACTCTAAGACATGCAGTGGTGTGCTAGTACCATACACACGACACAAACTGGACACGGCTGGCAAAGTGGTGGGGCTCGTCGGTGCCCTGCCGGCTTCTCCAAGTCTTGGGCTCCGTCACAGAGCAGGGAGGGACTGGTCCCTTCACAGGGTCCGCACGGCCACCGGATACAGGAGGGACAAGTGCTCAGCTCCTTTGATGGGTAGCTTTCTGGTGGTGTAGTAGTGGATGACCTCTGGGACACTGTCGAATGGGGGGCTGTTCTGACCCAGAATGTATTTCTCTTTGGTTTTGGCCAGTTTCATGTGCATAAAGCCCTGGTTGCTCCTGTGAACAAAACAAAGAGTTCAGTAGGATCTGATTGTAGCTGGGGCTGAGGGAAAGGTGAGGTGAGCTGAGGGAAGGAGGCATTTGTGATGGTGGCATTCATTTCCGCTCCCCGGCACTGGGGCCAAATTCCTACTAAGGCCAGGACTCTTGGGCTGCCTGGGAAGAAGAGATCCCAGACACAAGGCAGCTGTGAGCTGCACCTTTGCAAGACAGGAGTAGTCCAGGGCTTTCTGAAAAGCTACTGTACTCACTGCTATAGGGACTTAGGAACTTGCTGTTACTGATGCAACCCCTGACAAGTCTTACCTGGTAGGCACAAGGTAAATTTATGTCCCCAGTGCCATAAGTAGGCAGGGCAGGGGTCATCACTATATTGCCAGATGAGGAAATGGGGGATTTCCCCCTTCAATAGTGGGAATCATCACTTGCAAGGGACCACTCAGCTAAGGACTGTATTTCCCAGCCTCCACATTATAGCCAGTGAACGTGGGCAGAATGTGTGTCCTCCCAGAATGCCTCAGCCCCAGGCAGGCATTCCTCCCTGCCTCCACCAAGGCCCAGCCTCTTCCTCTGCCAGGCTGTCTTCTAGGATCCCTCAGGCACAGTGCCTTTCTTCCTGTGACTGCTCTGAATTCACACCTGCCTCCATAGGCATTTGCTTTCCTAACTGCGGTTACTTAGCCACTGTCCCAGTTCCCCTCAGAGCAGCACGGATGAACAGGATGAGTGAGGGCTCTGTGACCACTCTGAGTGCAGCCCTGTCTGGGAAGGACTACCTGAAGTATTTGGAAGGAAGAGCAGGAGTAGGTTCTTCAGAGGTAGGAGCAGAGCTCCCTGCAGCCTCCAAGGCCCCTACAGCCTGGCCTGCATCAGCGTGAGGAGTGGGCGCAGCTCAGGGTGGCCAAGGCCGCAGTCCAAGCATTGTGTCCAGCAGCAGACCCACGGTGGTCCCAGCTCCTCTCTCCCATGTCATGCCCCAGGCTCCACCACACTGGCTCACGCCCACCTCCATCAGCCTGCCTGGCCTTTTATGACTCTGCCATGCCTCTGTTGCCCCATCTGCAAGTAGCTGCAAGTTCCCAAACCAAAGCCCAATTTACCAAGTATCTGTCACTTGATCAGAAAGCTGGAGCTTCTGATCAACCTGCTACCATCTCTAGGGCCCGTCCCTGGGCAGGGTAACTTGTGAATAGCTCTAGGCCGTCTGGGAGCCCAAAGCACAGCCGGCGAGGCTGAGTCCCATGTGGATACGGGTGTGTGACCTTCCTGAGCTCACATTCCCCTCCTGTGCTCCTACAGGGAATGGAGGGCTTGAACACGTCACCTTCGGTGGGGCCTGGGCTCCCAGGCACCGCTCCGTCGTACCACTTTCAAATGAGCAAATAAATGCTTAACGAAGTGTGGGCTCTGAGCAACACATCTGCTCATGATAATGTATTTAGAGATGTCGGCTTAACGGCAATTGTTCGGAGAGCAATTACATTTCAAGACAGAATAATTCCTGTGAAGAACTAAAATTTAAATCAAGATTTTTAAGCCTGGCAGTGTTCTAATTACAGAGCCCATGGCAAGTTCTGCTCCTCGGTGAAGGAAGGGTCACTTCACCGGAGAATCGCCTGCCTGTGCCTGAGAAGCAGGACGCATGCTTGTTCAGGCCCTCAGAGGGACAACGGTGAGTGTGTTAAATGCAAAGTGTAAAGGACTCGCCTGCCCAGCAGGCTACAGTGGGGGCAAGTCGGTGCCACCTGGAAAGTCACTGTGAGCGCCACAACACGGTACAGCACGCGTGTGGCCAAGAACTGGTGGCAGGCTGGCGAGCTCTGTGCTCTCAGAGCTCCCCCGGGCTGGAATGGAGAACGGCCACGTGGTGCTAGCACAGAGACCTGGGGCGAGGAGGAGGGTGCGACTGTGATGTGTCATTTCCCTGTGTGCTGGGTGGGGCGACATTTGGGGAGCCAAACCATGGGGCTTTGTGAGCCACTCAGATATACGGCCAGGCGAGAGGAGCGAAGGACTCTTAAAATGGAGGGTCTCAGTAGCTAATGAGAGCCCAGGCCGTCACAGCTCTGCCCAAGTGCATTTATGAACCCATTTTACTTTCAAGAAGGTTAAGGAATTGGGCATGGTGGCACATGGCTGGAGCCTGAGGCAGGAGGACTGCCACAAGTTGAAGGCCAATCTGGGCTATATAGTGAGTTCAGGGCCAGCCTGAACTATAGTGAGACTTTGTTTCAAAAAAACCAAACAACAGCAACAATAAAAAACTGAAGAAGTTAAGGAAAGTAACTCACATGGTTAGAAAGGCTGAGAGGGCATTTTTAGTCAGGTATGATAGCACATGCCAGTAATCACAGCTATTTGGGAGGCTGAGGCAGGAGGATCTCAAGTTTGAGGTCAGTCTGGGGAATTTACTGAGACTCCATTTTAAAATTAAAAAGTGGGGGGCAGGGATGTAGCTCAATGGTAGAACACTTGTCTAGCATGTAGAAAGCCCCAAGTTCAATCCTCAGTACTAAAAAATAAAATAACAAAAAAGATAAAATCAGGACACGTTCATACCAGGTTATTCGTGTATCAACCAGTGACACTGAGGGTGGCAATGGTTCCGACTGACCCACAGGTAGAAGCTGATGCTCCTCCGATCCCAAGACAGGTACTCAGTTAAAACCACACAGTCATCTATCTGTGCCTCCACTGTTGACTGAGAAGCAAGGCAGCTGTCAGGCTGAGCCCCAGCCCACTAGCGGTTCGCAGGCCTCTCAGCCTTCTGTTTGTGCCTTACACTCCCCACTAGCTTTCACTCCCAGCCGGGCTGTACAGAGGAACAAGGCCAATCATAAAGGTCAGTCCATGGTCTGACTAGGCCAGGCAGAGGGAGAAAGGCCCATGCGCTGGCTTTTCTGGGCTACTGCCCTGCTGAACCCCTGGTGGCCTCTGAGGGCCTAGTTCCCTGGATTCCTGTGTGTAAACCTAGTCTTCTGTGCAGTCCCCAAGGGTCTCCTGCAGGAAGGGGCTGGGGAGCACCTAGCTCCCCTCTAGGGCAGGACTGCCTGGCCCAGTCCTGCTGTCCCTGGGGTATCAGCCTGAACCACTGCAGAGGAGTCAGTGACTCCTGGAGACTTCCTGTTAATTAGGCCCCGTGTCCAAGAGTATGGAGGCACAGACAGGAACGTTGACTGGCTCACTGTCTCACAGCAATCAGAAGCAGTGGTGCAAGATCTCTTCCCTGGGGAACTTTTCTGGAGCCAGTGTTCCTCATCTCAGACCTCAGTATCAGCCAGACCCAGCAGGCCTTACCTAACCCTCAAAGCGCCCTGTGCAGCTAGGCAGGAAGGCAGCCAGAGGCATCAGAGCCTGAGCAAGAGTCTCCATGCTGGCCCTGTGTCCATGATGCCCATCTCACAGAGCAGATGGGCAAGTCAGAGACAGTGGAGGGGCTGGCAGTGAAAGAACATCTCTACGTATGTGTCCCCCCACCACCTGTCCCAGGATCAGGAAGCGCATGCCCTGACAATGAGTCCCCCAACTGTACAGGCAGGTGGTAGCCCCTTCTGAAAGTTTCCAGGTCCTGGGAGAATCTGCCAGTCCTACACCATGCATGGTCAGGTGACTCCTTGCCCCCCGCCCCGAGAGGTGTTATAATACATCTTGATCGGTCACAAGATTCCCACACATGAGAAACCTAACAATAGCTGAAGATTTAAAGTTGCTGCCAGTGATGATTTTAATTGTGTTCAACAATGCACAAAAGTGCCAATGTAATGAAGGAAAAATTTAAATTCCTGTAGTGAACAGAGGGGTACAGCAAATAAGGAATATGTGCAGGGATGCCCTGCTGCTATAAACAGGCTTTTGGAGCGAGGGGGATCATCTCTGACCACCTGTACTTTAGAGGGAAGTGAGGCCAGAGAGGCAAACCACCCCGGCCCAGAATACAGCAAGGGGGCTGCAGGTGTAGCTAGAACCCAAGCCTTTGTAAACATGGCCAGGTGGGCAGGGCTCCTATTCAGGCAGTATTGGCATGGTGGTTCCTTGGGGAGCTCTTCCAGGCTCGTGCTTTGATCCCACCACCTGCTAGGCTCCTGCACCGGCCATGTCTCCTTTGATAGGACATCATGCCAGAGCAAAGTCACAATTAGGGGTGTCTCTGGTGGGTGACCTGTCTAATGAGTCTCGTAAGGCTACGAAGGCGGGGATGCTGGGGCTGTCATGGTGTTCATCATCATCATAAAAAGCACCTCCTTGTCACTGGGATTAGCAAGTGTGCCTGGCGCGCCAGCCTAATAACAGGCCCCACCTCGCCTCCTAATCATGAGCTTTAATAAAACATCACTCAGCCCACAGCTGCCGGCCGAGCAGGGTGCGAGGCCTCACCTCTCGCTTTTAGACCTAATTGCTTGATGCATATTTCATGAAGAATCCTGGGTAATAGTTATGTTAAATCGCTTCTTTTCATGATGAAATGACTTAAAAACACTTGCATATAATATTTATGTGGGAAAAGAAAAAGAAATTGCCCTTTGGGACTATCATGTAGGCCCTGGTTATAGTAATCCCACACAAAGGGTTTCTGCTTCAACATAGCCTAAAAGGTAGCTGGGAGCTGCTTTTTCCTTTTTTTTTTGAGACCCAGCTGCTTCCACAACATTGTCCCTCAGCTTAAAACTGTCCACAGCTCCTCATTGCCAACACAGAATTAAGGACACCCGAACCTCTCCAAACCTCACTGGGCCCCAGGCACCTGCAGAGCTCTATGTGACATCAGTTAAGCTGCATGGCAACTCTGCTAAGTCGGTTATGACTATCACGGTTTACAAATGGGGAAACTGAGGCTTAGGCAGGTCCTGTGCCTCATCTTATGGGACAAGGTGGGGCAAGTATTTGAACCTACACCTGCATCCTCTTCTTAGCCTCAGAGTTAGAGCTGCCGCTGCAGTCTCATCTTCCCTTGCTTGGCTGCTGCTCAACCAGGTACACCCAGGTTTCCAGGTGGGCCT